AAGTAGGGGATGTCAACGCAAAACGGGCCCTCCCATCGACCATATTCGCGAACAAATTCCCAATCGCGTCGGGCACGATATCCGCCAGCGAAGGCAGCCTCCTCGCTCCTGCCTTTGTCTTCGCGTTGATCGTCACCATCCACGAAGACCGTGCCACATCGCCACATGTCACGTCCGCCGTATGCAGCGAAAGGGTAAGCCTCGACATGCGAAGGTTGCCACTCTCCGCCGTCTTCGTCACCGGGCGGTGGTTGTGGAGATCTCCAGCGGGGCGCCCCGCCTGGACCACGACCTCCACGTCCTCCGTGAACTTCCCCGCAAACGCCCTGGTTGTCGGCGTCACGGTTTGTCTGCAAATCCTCAACCACGTTGTTGATCGTAAGACGCACTTCTTCGATCCCCGTTGAAAGATCCTCAACCTGACGATCCAATTGATTGATCTGGCGACCGAAGCCCGTGGCTTTTTCGACTCGGATACTCAATGGTGGCGTCACGCCCGTCGATGTCGTCCTTCCGCAGCGGCATCTTGAATCGTGCTGACTTCTGATACCAACTAATGTAGTGAAAGCGTGAACGAATGGGAAGAATACGAGATACTCTCTCGAACTTGGGATACTCTCCCGAAAGAACACCAACAATTTTAATTCATTCTCCAATTCTCCCAATACAAAGCAGAATGAGCCTTTAAATAAAACTATAACCCTAAACATAACTTATTTTCCAAGCTGCTACTACTACTACTACTAATGATAATAATAATAATAATAATAATAATAATAATAATAATAATAATAATAATAATAATAATAATAATAATAATAATAATCATATATATTCTCCATCACTTAAGTTATCGATCCTTGGCATATATGGTTTGACATAATTGTGGGATGACTTGGAACTACCATTAGTCTTATCTTTAATTGTCCACGTGATAACATCGTTGAGTTGGTCAATGGGGATCATTCCCTCGAAAGAAAGTGCAGCAGTCGCGCCACACGCACACTTCGGCGACCCACTGACTCTGTATCATATTTATGGAACGCGATCCCAAAGGCGCGGTGATTGAAAAGTCTTCACCTTGCTCGCTTTCAGACGTGGCGCCGCTGCGCCACAAACGAGATGGAAATGGACGACGATGTCGTTGAAAGTAACAACCCAAGTGGAAAAGAAAAATGAATGGCAATATCGACCAGGTCGACAATCCTAAGAAACAGAGACCAAAGCTTAACGACGAGCTTCAAATCTTGTGCAAGACGGGTATAAGAATATTTTTCAATATATGTTGCATTTATAATCAATATATTTTTTACTATTTATTGCGTATTTATTTACATACCATTTATATAAACACATTTGTGATGTTTGGATTTTGTTTATATTTTTTGATTATATTTTCTAATTAATTTTATATCAACAATCTATACAAGATTGGTATGTAAAATATTTTATAAGTGTTTTTTGGGATTTAAAAAAAATAAAAAGAGAAAAATGAATAATTAAACCGACCAAGTCGACAATTATAAGTAAAAAAGAGGTCAATACTTAACAACAAGCATCAAAATCTTGTGCAAGACACACATTAGAAGAATTTCAGCATACGTTGCATTTATAATCAGTATAATTTCAGTATATGTTGCGTTTTTATTTACATACTTATCCAACCACATTTATCTCACTAAAAAAAAAAGAAAAAAAAATGAATGTCAAAATCGACTAAATCGGCAATTATAAGAAAAAGATGTCAAGACTTTACGACGAACATCAGAACTTTGTGAAAGACGTGCATAAGAATAATTTCAATATATGTTGATTTTATATTCAGGATATTTTAGTATATGTTGTATTTTTATTTACACATTTATCCGCCCCGTCGCAGCCAATTTCTACCCAAACACCACCATCATCCCTTTCTTCCTCCTCCCTCCTTTGCCAAACTCATCGACTGTAATAAGGGCGAGAAAATTGCCGGCCTGGACCGACTCAAGACCTACTTCCAGCAGATCAACTACCTCGACCCCGGCCTCTCTGACGATGGCGTGGAATTCGCCGTCCGCTTGAGAGAGAGAGAGAGAGAGAGAGAGAGAGAGAGAGAGAGAGAGAGAGAGTTTAATTAAGGTAAATTAATTAAGGATGAAAGAGAGAACATTCAATTAGGAAAATTAATAAACATACATGTTAAGTTTATTAGGCATACTAGTATTCGACCATGTACATTTGTACAAATGTAAATAAATATTATGAATTATTTATATGTATATAATATTTCATTATAAATTAGATAATAGTATTATATTTTAAATATAGAGTATTATAAGCTATATTTATGTATATAATATTAAAATTATAAGTTAGATAATAGTATTATATTTTAAAATTTGATTATTTGTTAAGATAAGAAGTACATAACGAATTGATTGCATACGAATCACTATAATGATTGCATAAAGTTTAATAAATAATGTAATTTTTAGAATTTTGAGGGATCATGTCCAATTAAATACTAAACTTTTTAATAACAATTGCTTATCGATTTTAAGAAATTTCACTATGACATTAAAATAATAATTTATTTAAAAAACAATCACGTAATTAGATAAAAAATAAAATATTGATTTTAGAATAAATAACTTCAACAAAAAATTTTGCAATATAAACTTTTATTTTATGTAACTTTCATATATCATTTATGTAAAATAAATTATTAATTTTGATATTAACT